TCCTGGGGACATCCTCGATGATGCCATAGACCCGGGGGATTATTGGGGCAAAACCTAGAAGTATACCGGAGAAGCAGCGTTATTGGGGGGGTTTTGCTTTGGGCATTTTTTGTTTTAAAAAGCCTTTTTCGTTTTTTTTCGCTTTATCATCTCATCACTCGAACCCCGGGTTCTGCTAATTTACCGTGTCCCAGCCTGCCCCCGTATTGGCATATTCGGTATGCTTTTTTAGTTCAAAACAACCCCTTCTAAAAGTTCAAACCCATATAATTACCGTTGTATTGCCTTGCCGCTTTAAATTTTTTGTCAATACTTACTTTAAATTCGTACATTTGTGTCCCTTCAAATTTCCATGTAAAATCTTTCTCTGATTTTAATTTATCTACTTCTAAAGATAAAGATCGTGACTTGCCTTGAACTTCGTCTCTTAACGTTTGAAAATCCTGCCTCTGTGAACACAGTTCATCCAAAACAAGCTGTAGTTGATTCTGAAAACCATGAGAGCTGCTTTCTGCTTGCAAGTCAAGACCACGTGGTGAATTGTGCAATAGGATACTTTATTCGACCAATGGAAAATAATTTTCCTCTAATTCGCTTTCGCTCAACCGTGGAAAATTATATTTCCATTACTTCAATTTTTAATTTTCTATTAATATTTTATTAGTTTTACAATGACTCTATGAAGTTTTGTTATTTGTTAAATCTAAATCTATTTTAGTAACAGTACTGTAATAATTACCGCCTAAAGATATGCTTGATTATCGATAAGTTGACAAGTACAAATATTTATAGGCAATTAGCTCATCACTTTAGAAAAGCTTATATAAGTTTAATTGATCACAGCTATATTGATATATCAAAATACGATATCTACAACCTGTAGTAAACCTGCAATATCAATATTCATTTTTAATTTATTGTAGCATATCAACGAAGCATCTAAGGTTTTTTTCGGGACTTTTATTATTTTGTTTTTACTAAATATTATCTCGTGTTTACGAATTATTATTTCGTTTTTACGAAATATTCATTCGTTTTTTTTCACTAAATGTTATTTCGTCTTCTCGTAATGATTATTCCTTTTTATGAAATATTAATTCGTAATAACGAAATACTAATGAGTTTGTACGAAATATTTTTTTCGATATAACGAAATACTAATTCGTAAAATGGAATATCATTTCGTAACAACGAAGTATTATTTCGTAAAAACGAAATATTATTTCGTTAAACAAAATATTTTTTCGTTATTACGAAATAACAATTCGGTAAACACAAATATGGTATGATGTTTGGTATGTCCTTGGTTCGTTAGCCTCATTCTTGTCAGCTCATTAACTTGATATATGACATTTACTGTGGGAAAAGGCCAGCGCGGCCCTCTGTAGTAGTTGATCCCAATCGATTTTGGGGTCAATATGTTACTATGACCTTGATTAAAACATGCAGGTTTTCAAGTTTTATTTCGAGAAGAGACTGGAAAAAATATGTTTTCTTCCAAAGTCTAAATGCGACAGTATAACAGTAAACAGTACTGTTTATACTTAAAAATAATCCCCTCTTGCTTGAGTTGCCGCGACAGCCATGACAACATGCGCTGTGAAAAGTAGGTTAAAATTGGATTAATTTGACATGAAAAATGCATGTAATATTAGTATATTATAATATTAGTCCCTTTTTTACTATTTGTATATTTGTTACAATTATAATAATAAAAAGATCAGAAATTGATATTTTTATCATCTTATCTTACTGACTACAGTAGTGACACAAACAGAACACAGTACAGTCATGTCACATAACATTTATAAGTCTTGTAAGTCTTGTTTGTATTCAATGGAATTACTTTCCTTACAAGGTAGGCATCAGTGAAAGCATTTATTTATATTAAATATCTTTCCCCTCTTTTTAATTATGGACAGTGCATAAGATAAGTATAATTATGCAAAAAAGGTTTACAAAACATCGGAAAAAATCAACAATAGTACTTAATCTGAATATAACATGACCTGTGCGTAGGAATAATTTGGTAAGGTTTCTGTAATGAGCGCATTTTTTGCGCGGAGCTTCTCAATTGCTGCATTGCAGCAACATTTGTACTTGTTAGACTTAGTTAATATTGGGTTTTTGCCAATAAGAGCGTTGTGATAAAATACCTGTTAACATGGGTATTGCACAATTTTAGTGCAGTATTCAATCTTAAAAACAGGTTAATGAAAAGACTAGTACATTTACCGGAAATCTTTTTGGACAATACGATACAGGTTGTTATGGACATAAACTTAAAAGTAAATATTAATACTTTTTTACGTTAAACATACATTATGTTTATTCGTATTAAAATAAATGAAAAAAATTTTACTGTTATTCAAATCAAGTCGTGATTATTTAAAAAAATATCTTACGGAACATTTTATGCAATCAATATCTGTTTATTAGTCATTTCAATCCAATATGATTATAATACATGTGTGATAAACTTTGTGATGGAATATAAAACATGTATGTGCAATAATTGATATAAGAATCTAATAAAGTTGTCATTGAATAATTTATGTGCAATATTTTATAATTAGTAATTATTTTGCCTTTCTGGTGTCATATGATAATTTCTACGGACCACAATGGAAATAAGTCGGCTTATGCCATCTTTTTGTGTCATTCTTGGTATTGAATATATGACATCAACACATGCACTTTCATGTTCACATGTATCTCTTGATGTTGACATTGAATTTGTAGTTGTTTTATGACATGTATTTTTACCAGAATAAAACTTTCTATAAATCAGACATATTTCATACAACAAATTAGCAAAGGTTTATTTTAAGCATGTACTTTATTCACTCACTATCATTTTCATTCTATTAGAAATGTTATTATCATGTGTATAATATTAAAATCTTCCAGAAATCCAAAGGATATGTCACTTATGTGATAATTGTATCCCATGTTATGCTAAAATGCGTTAGGTACAGACAAACAATGTTTGCTGTTAACTGTAATTTCGATGTGTTAAATGATTCAGAAAAAAAAATTCTTTTCTCCAACTCTGATATGCTTAGTGCAACTGCAAAAACAAAGCTATCTTAATACGTTGACAACTAGAAACAATGCTCTATACAATAAGTCTTTAGCTATAACGCAATGTTTTATTATAAATTATGTATGTATTTACATTAAATACCGAATTTTATATTGTCAACATTTTATTGAATACTCTGTTAAGTATAAGTTTTAAGCTATTGCTTAATGTTTTGATATCATATATATTCTAAATCCTTATACATTGCTTAGGCTTTATTTTTTGATCTTTTTTATATTCGAATGTAACAATTGATATCATTTTAACTTGGTAATGTTAAAAAGTGGCTGCAGGATTAGCAAGGAATACCTATTTTTAATCTTAAAAAGTTGGTGTACAAATGTGTAGAAGTCCATAAATAATGCTTTGTAGTCTCTTACAATTCTATTTTAGAATGGCTATGTGCAACGGATATGTATATGTGTTCTTTTGTCCTTCAATTTTACATTTTTGTTAGAACATAAACGATGTTCAGTACAGACTTGTTTTATGTGAAAACTTTTTTTCTGCATCAGTTGAATTTATTAATGTTTTAGAATGCTTCGAAGAGTCGATCCAACATATTTTTGCCATAACAAACGGGTACAGTTTTGCTTTTATGTCAGAATGAAAGCGCTTTTAGATAAATATATTTACATACAGTATTAAGAATAATTTCATAAACAAGTTTCATGGTTATTGAAATGAAATCTGTAATTTGTAAATGTAGTGTTGATTTTATTTTCTTTTTAAATAAACTACTTCTTATAATGTTTTAATCACGTAAATAGGCATGTATGTATACGGTATCATTTAAAGCTGAACACAAAATATACACCTTTTATTCAATAAAATATCAAATCTTTTCACAGCAAACAGTTTTCTTTTTTTAAGTCCTTTAAAGTATTCTCTTTTTAAGTACTTTGAATGATATTTTTTAGGTTGCAACCTCTTAAGTCTGTTCATACTGATTGTAATACTACCCATTATGATATGATACTGACCCCTTTATTTAAGGTAAAGAAAAGGTTATTTGTCACACTGGTTGTGTTAGCAGCATGCCATGAACTTGCACTGATACATTTAGTGCTGAAACGGTTCCTGTTACGACAGACAGAAACAATGTTTTGATTCATTGAGGAGAACATTGATGATTTAAAAGGAAATACTGAATGGGTTGATCATCTCAAATCCAAGAACTTTTCCGAAACAGCATTACTATATCGTAACACTATCAATTTGTATATTTCTGTAAATGTTTCTTTCTTTTTAAAAAGGTTAAGTGATAAATCTTAATTATCAATTAAGCACTTTCAAGAGATACATATCTTATACCTTGTAAACGTTTTCTATCTACTTTAATTACTGACGTTTTGTAGATGACAGAAGCAAGATTAGACAAAGATGCAAACACGGGTATATTAGATTTTATCATATACTTATAAATGAAATATTGAGAAATATTGATAAAAATATGTATTTTCTTTAACCGTATTTTCAGTTTAAAAATGTATTATTAATTCATTTACAGTGTAATTGTTTTTTCACTGGTGTTGTGCCGGATTTCTTTCTTCTAAAGTTCGCCACATATACAAAATTTAAGGGGAAGTCTTTCAAATTGTCGTTAAATAATAAACAGAAAATTCAAGTTTTTTAAATAAAGGATTTATTTTCATCTTGTGGTATGATAACTATAATAATTCACTCATGGCTACCGTTACTCATGAAATATTTATTTTCGTACCACTCTATGAAAATAAATCCCCTTATTTATAGAAAACAAACTTGAATATCCTCTATATATAAGAAAAGAAATATTAATACTCTTGTAAAGTGAGTCTGAGATCAAATATTATTTTTAGTTTTATCATCATATTCCATTCACTTGTGAGTGTTATTTTTCTATCACAATCAGTTGATACTCAGTCAGTCTGTATGACAACATGTCGGTTATAACAACATACATTGCACACTGTCAACGTTATTCCACTCGATTTGTTGTTGCCTTTAGTTTTGTGTCATTGAACTTTCATTTTGCCAAGTTGCAATCTTAAAATATTTAACTCAATTTGATTTTGTGTAATTGTTTTGTAACATTAAATGTGCATATGATATTTTTAATACCCGCTAGCAATTATTATTATTATTATTATTATTATTATTATTATTATTATTATTATTATTATTCTTATTTTAGAACATAACTTATCAAACCTAACCATGTTTGATTGTGAAATTGAGGAAAGAAATATATCAAATATACGACTTAAGTTTAAAGGAGCAAGTTTAAAGTCAGGTAAAACTGTTAACATGTTTGGCATTTTCACGTCTGATAGATCAGTAAAACTAGATTTTGACATGTTTTTAACCTTAGTAGAACTAATCCAGCTGTACGCGAAAATATATGATATCCAATCACAATACAAGCCAAATAAACTTTCCATGGCCTATATAGCGCATTAGAAATAGGAGCTACTAAACAATTGTATTATTTGATTAAAATATAGTTCATACATTTACAGAAGTAGTAAATACGAGTTTACACATTGTCGGAACCCATGCATACTACATAAGATTTAATTTTTAACAACTATGATAAAAATAACCTCGGTAACAGTGGATAAAGTGAAAAAGACAATCACCGTCTGCTAACAGTTGTATAAAATATAAACTTGAAACAAACATTGTATTTCTCAATTCATCATACATAATTTTATTACTATTCCAGGTCAAAACTCAAACATATTCTGGAAGTCAGATTTAAGGGTCGGCAGCGATGTACAATATCTAGACGAAGAGAGAGCGATATCTATCAAGAAATCCGGTCATTACTTTATTAATGTACAGCTTACAATCAGAATGAATGTCGGAAGCTGTTCTGAAAATGTTGACAAACTTGTAAAACTTCAAGTTATTCGTGTCCCTGTGAAACAAAGAAGTGAGCTTATTATCGTTGAGAATGTTCATTCCGTGTGTCAAATACCTGATGAACAAAGTGAACAGTCAATCAACGTTGGTGCAGCATTTCAGCTGAAGGAAAATGACAAGTTTTATGTGGCCTTTTCACATCCGAATTTACTCTCAACAGGACATGAGAGGGATCATTTTAGTATTCATGCAATATGAAAGCAGTATTTTAAAATCTGTCAATAGCTGTCTGACCCTTAGGATATGTTTTTAAATTTGTCTTTTGGCATTTTCTAGTGGTATTGGGTGGTTCCAACATTCCTATTTGAATCATGTTGAATCACCCTTAGGATATGTTGCCTGTTTTTTAACTTTGTCTTTTAACGTTTTATCTGTGATATGCAGGCTTCATAACCTCTGACCCCTTTTCAAAATTCCATTAGTTTAGTTCCGCCCATTGTTTTCTCGTTTAGGGCACAAGCTTTTTATTACTTGGGGACCATACGCCGCTTTTCATGGAATGGAACTACTGTGTGACATTGAAGGTTCTATGATAACCGCTGTATGAACACATCTGTGAATGTTTCCAAATTCAAAATGTCACCATATTCGTGTTTAAATGTTGAATTCTGCTTAAGCCGGTGCTAGTGGACGTGGACGATAACTTACACTTTTCAGTACCATCCATGAACAGGCTCAATGAAATCGAGCCGGCAACATTTTCAATTTTGCCTTGTTTGGCTTTCTTAAGAGATTCTGTTTTTCTCAATATTATTTTGTTGATTTAGCATAAATATATTCAAGTTCTTTGTAGTACTCTGATTATAGTCTTTTTATATTTCTTTGTAGAACTTTGTTATTTATATCATCCATTGAAGAAAATGTTAATATTCTTTCATGGTAAACTTTTCCTTGAATCATTATCTATTATAAGAATGGTTGTGTAAGCAATTGATAAACCTAACGCATTTCTGGCATACTGTTATTTCCAGTCAGATAAGTTGTTACATACAGCCGCGCCTGTATGTAGATGTTATCTCCCTATGGGATTCAGAAGTTCATTAAACAAGGCATCTCACGGATTCAACTGCTTTTTTTTAATTACTTAGGTACTTTCGCGTATAAATAAAACCTTAGAGCTCTTCTAAATTCACTGAGACATTTTTGATGTATGTCATTTTATTATCCCATGTTAACAAAATATAGTATATTTTAATATTTAAAGGAAGTAGCCTTGTGGATAAGGTGTCTGTCTCTCAGCCTAGGAACCGAAAGTATGAGTTCTGTTCTGGTCCTGACTCTGATAACTCAGCAGAATCAAAATTAATAAAATATCAATCGATCCAGAAGAATAAGTTTACATTCAAATAAGGGAAGGCGTGGCGTCCGAGACCAAGTGGTCAAGGTTGTTAACATCAAATCGCCTGCTCCTCACCGCTATGGACCTGAACCCAGCAGAAACTTTGTATTCTTTCATATGAGGAAGATATCCCGCCACAATACGGAACGTCGGTGGTTATACTTTTTCGCTAAAAAAAAGCACGGAGGGGCATTTTAGGTCATCCTTCACAAGCAAAGCTGGAAAGTTGCCATCTGGCGTTTACAGTGTTGGTGTTACGTAATTCCCAACAAAACCCCGAATATTCCAACTCTATATATCATCAATAATAAATGCATATCATTCATTTGGTATCTATATGATAATCCTTGTCAATTTAATTGCTAGGCATATGATCCTATATAAAAGAAAATGATTACAAAGCTGAAATAACATGACCTTTATTAATATATCATATAAATAAACAATGTTTACAGTAAAAAGTATAAAAAAGCGGGTGACTTTGTTCTTTGATGAATTGAACAGACGAAGTTTCGGGAATTTTATGAGATAACGTTTTAGGGTAAATTTTACATTTTTTTTTTTGTAAATTAGCCAAATAAGCTGCCAAACACAGAACAAATATGAAAAAAAAAATATTTGGATTTTGAGAGCAGTGATATGTCTAATGCCTTATAACTGTTTTAAGCATTTAAGCATGAAAAGTATGTCATTGACAACGTGTAACCAATTCACACACCTGTTCTTTACGGAATGCCGTTAGGGATTCGTACTATCGACTATCGCGTTTCAGATTAACACATTCATAGGCGATGGCCCTAACGGCATTCCGGAATGCCGTTAGGGCCATCGCCTATCAATGTGTTGATCTGAAACGCGATAGTCGATAGTACGATGGTGAAAACGCGAAATCACGAAACTACGATGGTGAAAACGCGAAAGTACGATGACGAAAACGCGATAGTACGATGATGAAAACGCGACAGTACGATACTACGATGATGAAAACGCAATAAACTATCGTGTTTTCACCATCGTACTGTCGCGTTTTCATCATCATAGTTTCGTGATTTCGCGTTTTCATCATCGTACTGTCAAGTATCGCGTTTCAGATCAAACCATTGATAGGCGATGGCCCTAACGGCATTCCGGAATGCCGTTAGGGCCATCGCCTATGAATGTGTTAATCTGAAACGCGATAGTCGATAGTACGATGATGAAAACGCGAAATCACGAAACTACGATGGTGAAAACACGATAGTACGATGATGAAAACGCGATAGTACGATAATGAAAACGCGATAGTACGATGATGAAAACACGACAGTACGATGGTGAAAACGCGATAGTACGATGATGAAAACACGACAGTACGATGATGAAAACGCGATAGTACGATGGTGAAAACGCGATAGTACGATGATGAAAACACGACAGTACGATGATGAAAACGCGATATCACGAAACTACGATGGTGAAAACGCGACAGTACGATGGTGAAAACACGATACTTTATCGCGTTTTCATCATCGTAGTATCGTACTGTCGCGTTTTCATCATCGTACTTTCGCGTTTTCATCATCGTACTTTCGCGTTTTCACCATCGTAGTTTCGTGATTTCGTGTTTTCATCATCGTACTATCGACTATCGCGTTTCAGATCAACACATTCATAGGCAATGGCCCTAACGGCATTCCGTAGTTCTTACGGCGGTGATCTAGGAACTTTAATGTTTTGATAACGTGTCATTCCATGAAGACTGGCGTATACTCTTAGCGAGATCAAATTTAAACAAACTATAAGTTTACACCACCATAGAGTATTTAACTAAAAATGAAGTAGAAATGCTTGCACCACGTATAGCAAATTTTCGAATTCAAAATTCTACAAACAATTATTATATTTTCTTCACGGATAGGAAATTTGATTATATGTTCGTTTAAACCTTTTAACTTATCAGCGCTGGTGCAATAAATTGGGAACCCAACAGAGACTCAGAACGGTAATGTGTATGCTTGATGGATGACAAAACAGAATACTACAAGAAAAAATCTTTTCTATAGATTAAATCTATTTTAATATATTTTAAACACCTCAACATACAAAAAGACTAATAAGGCAAATGTAGTAAAGATCAAAACGAAGTTAGACAATAAGACAAAAATGAGAATATTGTATGCACTTGTTACAAATCCACCAAGAAACATACAAGATAGTATTAACATTACTACATTTACACTTACGTTTTATATAAAAAGAAAAATGAAGAGTATATTCGTAACCAAACCAAAAATTAATATATTTCTTGTTTATCGTGGATTGATTAAACCGAATTGATCTATAACTACAATAAATAATCACATTGATAGTATTTAGTATCTGAAATACAATTAACCATGAAAAATTATAAATGTATATATGTGTTGTATTGTATATCCTGGCCATGTGCCCGTATGGAATTTGAATAACAAACTTATCATGATGAGATATTTCAAATATTCATTTAGCAGATAAAAAATTCTTTAGAACAATATATTCATCATATTCAATATCTTGTAATATAAATCCGTGATCATACTAAATCATTATGAATTTTATCAGCTATTTTTTCTCAATATTTTATATAAGACAATCCAAGTGATATATATGTATTGCTTTTATCAAATATTTGAAATACGTCTGGAAATTGTGTCCATTATAGACCAAGCCACTTTAATACTATTAATTTCTTACAAATTGTGTTTCTATTATACATGTATGTGTTTTTAACTCCACGAAAATAAATTTTTAACTTATATCAATACTCTTCATTTCAAAAACTGAAAATTGGATTGAATGGCATCAATTAATAAGTATAAACATAGTATATTCTGTTTGTCTGTTTGAAAAACAACTCCTTATTTATTTAAATCACATAATAATGATGACAAACACATGCAACATTTTGGGATCGGAGGTGAATACTCCGCATTTTCCAGTCTATTAAAACAACATATGAATGTTTTGAAAATGATTTTATTTTCAAATTTATTTATTATTATATTAAAATTTAGAATAAACTATAAAACTATCAAATATATGATAAACGATATGAAACATCGGAGACATAAACGGGTTGTTTACCTGTATATCTTCAACAGATTAAACATATTTACAACAGATATCACATAATTATGTATTCAACCTATTTCACATATATTTAACAACAGTTATCACTTATAAACAACAGATATCAATTATTTAGAACAGATATCACATAAACAACATATCAATATATAGATAATATATTTGTTTTAAAAATTATTTCAAAAGTTATCCTAAAAACCTACCCGGACGAAAAAAATGTACAGAAAAGTCGAAACGGGCGTTTTTACAATTACATCACTGCAATATATAACTAGAGAAACATATCTAGTGTAAACCAGGAAATAAATTGATTAGTCAATACTATAAATAAAACAACTAGGGTTTAATTGATTCAGTCATCAGTTTTAGAATAACAATTGTATTACAAAATCATAACAGGGAATATAAAAAATGGACACGAATGTACGTAGTTTTTCTTTATATAAAAAATACAACATAATTATTACAAGTATTATTAAAAAAATATTATAAATGTAAATAATTTTTCTTTTAATATATAAATAATACGACATAATCATAATAAGCATTATTAAAAAATAAACATAAATGTAAGTAACTGTTCTTTTAATATATAAATAATACGACATAATCATAACAAGGGTTATAAAAAATGAACAAAAGTGTAAGTGAATTTTCTTGTATATTAATAATACGACATTATCACAACAAGGGTTAAAAAATGAACATAAATATAAGTGAATTCTTTTGTATATAAATACTACGATAAATATCCATTTACCAAACACAAATTAAATTAGTGATTAAATTCTTGATAACTTGAAAAACAAATTTCGCGATAATTATAAAATAAAAAATGAAAAGTTTTGGAACCACTTAATGAAAGATACTACAAAACTGTTCGAAAGATACTAAATAATTGTTATTGTTTTTAGTTGTTCTTTCTCCTTAAAAACTGTAAACCACCATATGGATATTTTTTCTGTGTTATACCGTCCGTGATTTCCAGGGATCATTTAATTCAATTTGTTAAGTTGCGTCCATTTTTGTCTCGTTTATGGCACACATATTATCACGCCAGGTAAATAACAGAGCAACCGGTCTCCGAGGTATACGGTAAACTGCGCTATCGCTACTTCCAAGCTAGTGCATGTCGCCCAGTTTGAATGTCATAAACTCCGTATGTTCCCTTTGTAATGAAAATGATTATGTCATTTCTGAGTTTAAATGTGTTATGTATTAATTATAGTACATTTGTATAATTTAACCATAGAAAGTCATTATTATTTCTATTAGTACTACTAGGTAGTAGTACTACTACTAGTGGTAGTAGTAGTAGTAGTAGTAGTAGTGGTGGTGGTAGTGGTAGTGGTGGTGGTGGTGCTGATGGTGGTGGTGGT